GAGGCTGCTATATGTAGCTGTGTTACTACAAAGAGAGTAACTCTCAGTTTATCAGGAGTGAATGTACTGTGCCTTGCAGCACTTGACGGACAGAAGATTTCAAAATGAAGTGTGTGTTTTTTTCTAAGAAAGTCCAGAAAGTACCTTCCAAACCTCATCTCAAGTTAATTAGAACATTTCCATTATTACAATTTGACATGCAAATAACAAGTTAGCAAACCAGCACAAAATTGCAGTTAAAAGAAAAGTCAAAGCCCCTTTCAGGAACTGTTCAAAGGATGACCTGAAAACCTGTGAAGATAGGGATTTTTATGAGTTATAAAATCATAACTAAAAAGTGAAGAGTACTTCTCTATTGTGATTAAGGATGTCTTGAAAGATTCACAAGGATTTCTGTCTTCACCTCCTTGTCTCTGCACTGAAACTCCCACATCTTCTTTCCTCCATGTTACTGAACTTTATAAAACTGTTTTCAAGTGCTTAACTATGTTATGGATTTCATCACAACCTGCTCCAGATCTGTGATGGTGGGGAGTGGTTTAGTCCAAACAGCAATTAATACTGTAGTGACCCTGCAGAAGTTATTTGAGTCACAGATAGATTTCCCATTTTTTGCTTTGTATGCATCAAACAGTGAAGATTGCTGTTCAGCAGTAACAGTCAAAACATGCTTTCACCACATATGCATGAACATTTCGGTAAAACAAGACTCATTTCAGGGGTTTCACGTGTCTCTGTGTTGCTCCATGCACATGTATTTGGTAATAGCTGAAGTCTTGGATCGTGTGAAAATGAGCCATTGAGAAAATAACATGTGCCCGCTTGGATGATTATGAACCATTACAACATGGTGCTTTAAATGCAGCAGTTCTCCTTTTGACACCAGGCAGTGTTTTTGTTCCATTCACTGGGTGTGGTCAGTGCAAAGAAGCACCAAATTTAAGCTGGTAGGGAGCCACTTCTCCTGTGATGCACTCTGTTTAGGAAAAAAGTGAGTGAGCAGAACTCTGTCATCCTGCATTTCTTTAGGTCCAGTGTTCTATTAATTTAACCATATATTGGAATCTTACATGACTGTCTGTACTTATGCCATTTTACAATTTTTTTTTTTTTTTTTTCCACTTCCTGCTAATGGAAACATCTAAGTTGTGTTCAAACCCGGGTCTGGAAAAGAAACGTTCTAGATTTTAAAATTCAGGAATCATGAAATTAAATTAAAATTAGTTTCAACTAGCTTTAGCAACAGACTTGAACAGCATGAATATGAACAGCAAATGTTTGTGTCAAACAGGCAAATGCAACCACATTTTACTTATCTACCTGCATATACACATTTTGTGTTAGCAGATCTGGACAAACATTTAGGTTGTGTGCACCTTGACCTATAATAGATTACTATTTTTTTTCTTCTAAAACAGCTGCTAGTCAATTTAGCAATTATTACTTATCTCATTTCACAGTTTTACTCTAAGCCGTCTTGTTGATTTAAATGATTGATGCTGAAACTACTCATCTGCATGACATTAAGTGCACATTTTGCAAAACCAGGTCATCATTCAGGACATTTCTGAGCACAATGACAATTAACACCCTGCTTATTATGATTCTGATTCTAGCTTGATAATTTTAAAAATAATATCATTACATAGGTAAACTAATAAGTAAATTAATAACATATTTGCCTCCAGCTTGAATGTTTTCAACACAACAACATTTTCCTTTACATAAAAAAACAGGTTATTGCTGTTGCTTGTGAGGAGGAAGTGGTGGTTATTCCAATTTAACTCTGTATCTTTAACTAATGCTGTTATTTCTTGTTTTCTAAATTAGAGTGTACTCTTGTTGAAGCTGATAAATGTGCTTGAGGCAGCCAAAAGAATCACACATCCTCTTTCACCTGGCCTTCAGACGATTTTCAAATCACGTAAGTACTAAAATAAAACAGGTAATCTATAATCTGTGTATATGTACGGCAAGGGTATTAAACTGAACATATAAGTGGGATTCTACTTACAAGGGGGGACTACTCTTAAAAATACTTAATGACTGAATTTTTTACTTCATAGAATTCTGTCTTTTTCCCCAGGTCTGTCGTTATTCATTGTGTTTTGTTTGTATAATTCAAATAGATTGGAGCTTAGTCTTACATTCGAGTCCTCGCACACTGCTTTCATAGTGAAAAGAAATGTGATGGTGTGGATAAAGTGGAAAAATACTAAGCTCAAAAATTCAAGGCTTATATATTTAAAATTCAGAACATACGTGTTTTTGAGTGCACATGCACAGACATGTATTATCAATATATAGTACATAACTAATGTTAGGATACATCACCTTATATAGATATGAGAATTTTTATATTTAGCTAATATATTAATGCTAAATAAAGATGTAAATACGCAGATTATAAATTATAAAGATGCCTACTGACACACTGTTAGAAAGATTTAAACTGAAAAGGAAATTGTGTTTATAAGACATATGATTCAACTTCCTCAGCAGCCAGTGCATCTTTTTAAAAACTTCTGTGAATGTTATTTCAAATTCAGAAAAGGAAGTCAGCTCAAGAGATTTAAATCAGGTCTAAATCTGATCTCTGCAGTTCTGATTTCAGTTTGAGTCCTTTGCTACAACTCTCATACTAACCATCCTCAGGAAGCTTCTGCTGGCCAGTAGAAGTAATTTTGTGAATAAATGTGTGGCTGGTGGTGTCTTTTTGAATTCCTGTAGGATCAGGGAGAATATGCATCTTTCCTATGATGTGTAGATGTTCTCCAGAAAATCTCTGCTGAGCTCTTCTGCAAATTAAAGAGCCTTTTCTAAATGATCATCTGAATAGAGCTCCCTTCTTAGCCCTCCTTGCAGGCAGTAGGAAGTACCCATGGCCCCCTTTCTTCTAAATGCCCTCACTCAATCACCTCCCTTCTGTATGTTATGTTCATGTTTCAGGGTGGCTGATAGAAGATATGCTGTCAGACTTTGTATATTTAAACCATGCAGGACTTCAAAAAACATGAATGGCAGACACCTAGAATGCAATTTTTCTTGCAATGATAAAATAACAGTCTCAAAAATAATTACCTAGACAGGTACCCCTTTTATTCTGTCTATCTGAAGAATTACTGCAGCTGCCAAGTACAAAGGGTAACAGAAGCACCAAGCAAGGTCATGAGTGTGTCTCTGGATGAGATCAGAAACTGTAAAGCAGTGGATAGTGACTAAAATTGTGCAAAGATGGGCTAGGGGACCACAGGCCCTGGTTAATTGCATAACCTGCCTGCTGACCCTATACATCTCTTCACTTCTGAGAGACACCTTTAAGTTGTTTGAGATTTGCTTCAGAAGGTGTTCAAGCACTTTCAGGCTGTCATATTCCTGCAGCTTCTAAAAATCAGTTTTGAAAAGCCAGCAGATGAAGCTGGAGAGATAGTTAAAGATTTGTTTAAAGGGCAGGAAATCAAGATAAGCTGTGATGCCTTAGCTACATCATATAGTTCAGGTCTTTACCCAGCTGCAGCCCTCTGTCATCAGCCAGCAACCCCACATGAGTCATCCTCATTATGCTTTTGGAGAGTGTTCTGTCCTTTCCCTCCCCCAGTTTCCCCATTGTATCTGGACTTCATCTGCCCCACTTTTACAAATTCTTTCTCTCTCATTTTCAACCTTAGGTAATTCCCAAACAAAAAGGTTTTGGTTTTGTAGACTTAAAGCTGACTCATGTGCTCTTCCCAATTGGTAGCACGACTAGCAAAAAGCAGAAAAACTTGAGATAAAACTTTCCTTCACAATCTTGACAAATATGGAACCTCATGTCATCCTGTCCCTGAAATTACTGGCTTGCTGATAGGTGCAGTTCTCAGAGAACAGCTAATGGAAAGAAGAGAAGGGTCGAACTAATGCAAGGGGAGTCTGAGGAATGAAATCTGCCCATGAGCTCCTGTGTGAGGCTGAACAAGTTATCTGAGCCTAGCTTCCCATGTGTGGTCACCAGTGACACGTTCCCCATTTGATTTTTCTGTAACTTTAGACTCTGTGATCTGATTTGCAGAAATCTGATCCTGGATGCAAACAGTCAGTGGATTTAATCTTTTACCTAAGTGAAGTCCTTCATAATTTTAAGTACTCTTAGAAGTGATGCTGAGGAGGATACTGTCTCAAACCTCCTAAGTGGATACTTAACTCTAATGACTCAGATTCTCCCTTTTAAATAAAGGTGTTAATACTTCACCACAGGGTGTTGTACAAATTAAGTAAGCCCTATCTGTAAAACAGTTAGGTATCACAGTGATAAAGAAAACAATTTTTTTTCATAGGGTTCTGTCTGAACTGCACACTGAACACTGCACAGTAAATCTGCGCACTGAACAAAGACAAAACACGAATGCTCAGTCTGTTCATACATTGTGTACTACCCTTCGCACTGTAAGATATTATTCTTCTGCTCTTCTATTACTTCACTAGTGTAATAAAAAAGGACAAATAATGTTATGTTGAAAGTGCTATTAAAGGGTCACTGATAAAGGGTCAGAGTGGGATAAAAGGGTAAATTGTTGCATTGTTGTTATTATACTAAGGGAGTGCTGTTTATATTTTCTGTATTTCCCTCAATACATGGATTGCCAATGTCATACAGAAGTTCTCAAAGTAAAATTTAATTTGTTCTAATTTCTTGTGTGCAAATTCAATGTGAAATAGCAGTTACATATTCTCATATATTATTTATTAGCCTATGAATAAAAATTTAATATATGTCTGTGCTCTTAATAATACTGATAAAAACCATTCACTTTCTACAGCTGCACATTTTGATTTGTTAACATTTGTTAACAGTGATGAGATTCTGTTTTGAGTAGGTTTTATTTTCAATTTTGTTTTTCTACTTTTTCACACTTCTTGTGCTGGTTTTCTGATCCAATCTACTTTATTTTCTTTTCAGAAATACTTGGGAAAATATTTTGAGGTCCTTCTGAACAAATTTTTCTGAGAAGTGTACTGGCAAAATGAATTTTGTAAGTACCTAATTGATAAACTATGTTAATATATCAATAAAGCAATGACTCTGTAAAACCCAGTTCCTTGAGGTTGCAGATCCAAACACTGTAATTTCAGGAGTGAAAATCTGAAGAGATGTTTCTGACAGCAGAGTTCGCTGTCAAAGCACACTCTTTATTGGATTTTCACTACAGGTGTGATGTTTGTGGTGCAGGTAAATGTGTCTCAGGCTAGGTATCACAGACTGCTGTTCTAGCTGAGTAGAGAGAAGTAATCATTTTTGGGCTGATTTAGTCAAGCTACATTATTTTGAAATGCATAGCATGCTATAAAGTCCTGTTTGCCTTGTGTGATGGTAAAGGAAGACTAGGCCCCAAATTCAAATTCAGACTTTTACAGAGACAAGCTGTCTGTGACAGCCGACTTGTCCTTTATGCACAATGCATTTAAATATGAAGGCCTTTGGGACATCCAAAGGGATTATTTCCACATTTGTATTTTGAGTATGATTTTATGAAATTTCCTAGATAGTTCTTACAAGCATCGTCTGTAGTGTTAAATGCATTTGTAATTGGAATGTGTGGTCAGTTACCTATCACGTTTCTACCATACAGGGATTAAAGATTAACATCTGTGTGTTAACTGGTGTTCTCCTTTTCTACAGACAGACCTTCATTCCACAGATTACCCCTACTATTCAGACTATGTTAATCTGATCACATCGCCTTGTTCTAAGCAGGAAGTCAGGAATTTCACAAAAGCATTTCTGCCAGTTGCATATTCATTGATTTGTATCATCGGCCTCTTTGGTAACATCTTTGTGGTGATGACCTTCGCTTTATATGAGAGAGCCAAGTCCATGACGGATGTGTACCTCTTCAACATGGCCATAGCAGACATACTGTTTACTCTTACTCTTCCACTGTGGGCAATGAATTATGCCACTGATGAGTGGATTTTTGGTGATTTCATTTGCAAAATGACTAGAGGTATCTATGCAATCAACTTCAGCTGTGGCATGCTGCTTTTGGCCTTTATCAGCGTGGACCGGTACATTGCTATCGTACAGGCAACAAAGTCTTTTAAACTCAGGGCAAGGACTCTCGCACATAGTAAACTCATTTGTCTGGCTGTGTGGATATCATCAATTCTAATCTCTAGTCCCTCTTTTCTGTACAATGAAAGTTACAGCTTCTCCATGAATGAAACCAAAGAGATTTGTGATCACAGATCTGGCAGGATTTCTGAAAGCACTATGCTGAAATCGCTGCTGTTATGGCTACAAGTTGCATTTGGATTTTTTATACCTTTCATATTCATGATTTTTTGCTACACCTTCATTGTCAAATCCTTACAACAAGCTCAGAATTCCAAAAGAAACAAAGCAATACGTGTGATTGTATTAATTGTAGCTGTTTTTCTAATTTGCCAGGTACCTTATAACATTGTTCTTCTCATAACAGCTGTCAACATGGGCAAGATTGACAAATCTTGTGACAATGACAAGATAATGGCTTATGCAAAATACACCACTGAAGCCATAGCATTTTTACACTGTTGTGTGAACCCTGTGCTCTATGCGTTTATTGGAGTGAAGTTCAGAAGTTATTTTGTGAAGCTAATGAAGGACCTATGGTGCAAGAGGCACAAGAAAGACAATAAACGTAGTTCAAGGACAAACTCTGATACTTACCATTCAAGACAGACTAGTGAAATTCTGACTGACAGTGGATCATCTTTTACTATATAACACAATTTGAACAACATTAGTACTGAAGGACTCTTCTCACCAAGAAACCCAAACCAATGTCACTGCATGTGACAGCAAGTAATCTGAACTTCTCTATGCCTCTAAATGAGATCCAATGATCTACACCTCTTTTCAGGAAACTAATTTAGTTAAAGGAACAATACTGTCCTGTGTAAAACTAAAACCTTATTCACTCCTCTTAATGCTCTTCTAAACTGCATCCTCTTGGAATTATAAAGTTAAGTTTAAAGAGGAACCCTTGTCATTGTGTAAGGAAAAATTGCATCTCATCTGTCCTGCAACACTGAAATATCCCCAAAATAATAAGTAAATGAATAAGGTTCTACTCTCTTTCTTACATTTATTGTTAATAATTGTTTCTGTTTGTTTAATTGTTTCTGTTAATTACTTCTACCTGGAAATCCTAGTGAAGTGTGGCTCTCCACTGTGCTTAATATTGCAGACAGGTCATATTGTGACAATACTAACCTAAAGAGATGGCATTTGAGCAAAGCATGACAAGGAATGCAAACTGCAGAATGAAAAAACAGGCTCAGAACTGCTGACATAGCTGGGCTGAGGTGCTTGGTCTTGTAAATCTTTGCCCAGTGCTATTCTGAGCAAAGAGTGAAGCTTTGCTAGAGTTTCCTCTCATGGGTTAGCACAGGATTCAGATGCTGGAATCCAGCAAAGCTGATAACCTGATGAATATCTCTTTGTGAAAGTTGCCTCTTTCTACCTGAAATTCACAGTCTACTTTTTAAAAGACAACTAATTGGATAAAACTGCAATTATTCCAACACAATTTGTTGGGATGCGAATGGTGACAAAATATGGAGCATTTCTTTGCATTTAGCTACCACTAGCAAAGATTCTTAGGAATGCATTTACCAGCTCAAATATGAATATATATAGTTTCAGAAATTAGTTAGAAGTTATTGTCTAAAAAAAGAGCAGAATATGACTTAATTCAGCCAAAATTTTTACTCAGTCAGTATTTGACTCACTATGAATATAGGAATATTTATAATAAATGCAAATAGTTTTACCCAGCCTTGACTCTTCAGCAAATCTTCAGTGGATCTTCTGCTCATTGAGTGAGCTTTACCACTGTTGCAGTCACTGTGGGACAGTGAGGTAGTCAGAAGCATGTGCTGAAGATCCCTTGAGGATATCATTAATGGGACACATGAAATTAGTACTGCTTTGGCTAGTACAATCCATCCTTGTTTCCACTGCAGTGTCAGGTTTTTTAATATCAGTACCAGATATGATAAAGATTGTGTATATTTATCATAACTGAATAGCAATTTTGCAATATGATAGAAAATTATGTAAATACACATGTATGCATTTGCTGTACATAGCAATGATGATTTTCTGGAAAGAATTCAGCAAATAAAAAATGCAATTGAAAAGGAAAAGATCCCCTCATATCTAAGAGTTCCATGCTATGTTGCCATGAAACATTCCTTTTGACTCTGTGAAAAATCTGTCACATCTGAGCAGTCTGTCCATTGTGGGCTCGCTGAGGGAGCGTGCCCCAGGGTGGGGGTTCAGAGCTGAAGCAGCTGTGGGGGCTCTTGGGCAGAACCTCCCAGTGCTCCAAAGGGCATCCCCCACCTCCTGCCCACCCACTGCCTTGGCTGCATTGGCCTTCAGCCACTGAACAACCCAAACACTGCCCCAGTGGGGTTCGGGGGCCAGACAGCAGCCAAGGCACAGTCACTGATGAGCACTGTCACTGTCCCACCACTGGTGACTTGCTGATGGACCCCGGGAGAGGTCAGGAAAAATGTGCCATAGCTTTCCTGAGGTGGTTAGCGGAAAGAGCATCCTCCCTTGGTGGGGAGGGCAGAGAAAGAGAACAAAGCAGGGTCCTGCAGACCTGGGCCTTCCCCAGGGAGAGGGGTCAGCCTCACAGGTCACCAGCCCCTCATAGCTGTGAGGGACCCAGGCTGGAAGTGGTGGTGTGGAACAGCTGCCTCAGGCAGGAGCTGCACAGCTTCTCAGCTGCTGGATTTTGTGACGGTAAAATGCTCACTGGAAATGACATTCATGTGTAGAAAACGTAGCCAGCTACTCCCCAATGCATGTGGGAGAGAAGTGCTGCTGAGTGAAGAGGAGCATGGTACACACGTGGGACTAAAACAGCACTTGGAGCATGAATTGTGCTGGTTCCAAGGCCTTGCCAAAAGTCCTGCTTGAGGTGCAGCCAAAATCTTGATTGCCATGAATGAGTGCTCTGTCCCTAGGATAGATGAGGGTAGAAGACTGGATGGATTCCTGTGGTGGTTTAACATATCTGGTTGCCAAGCATCCACCAAAGCCTCTCTATCACTCCCTTCTCAACTGGACAGGGGAGACAAAATGTAATGAAAGGCTCATGAGTTCATAAGAGCAGGGGGAGATCGCTCACTGATTGCTGTCATGGTACTTGGAGGAGTTAATTGGACTTATTACCAATAAAAATCAGAGTCATATAATGAAAACAGATCTTAAAAATACCTTCCCCCCCCACCCTTCTTTCCCCTGAGATGTAACATTGTTCCTCATTCTTTACCTCCTTCCCACAGCAGGGAGATGGGAATGGTGATTACAGGCAGTTCATCACATGTTATTTCTGTACAACTTCCTCCTCAGAAAGAGGAGTCCTTCCCCTGACTTAGAATGGAGTCCCTCACACAGCAGAGTCTTCCATTAATTCCTTCAGCATGAGTTCTTTCCATGGGCTGCAGTTCTTCACAAACTGCTTCAGTGTGGGCCCTTTTCAGTGACTTACAGTTCTTCAATAAAAAGCTGTTCCAGTGTGTGTTCCCTGTGAAGTCACAAGTTCTGCCAAGAAACCAGGTTGCAAGGACTCCTCTCTCCACAGGGCAAGAGGTCCTACCAGGAGCCTGCTCCAGTGTGGGCTTCCCACAGAGTCACAAAGTCACAACATTTTTTCAAGCATCCACCTACTCTCATGTGGGGCTCCCCCAGGATCTGCAGGTGGATCTCTGAGCCCCTGTGGAACTCTGAATGCTGCAGGGAGAGAGCCTGCCTCACTATGGTGTTCACCATGAGCTGCAAATGTGTCTCTTCTGTGGTACCTGGAGCAGCTTCTTCTTTGCTGGCCTTGGTGTCTGCAGTTTTGATTCTCTCACATATTCTCATTTCTGTCTTCTCTGTCTGCAATTACTTCTGTACCAATAACTTTTCTATTTAGCATTACTACCATGGCTGATGGGCTCAGCCTTGGCCAGAAGTTGACATTGGCTTTGTTGGATGTGGGAGAAGCTCCTAGAAGTTTCTCAGAGTAACCACCCTTAAAGCTCCCCCATTACCAAAACCTGACCTCATGAACTCAATACATCTCCCAAGGGTCTGCTGTGCAGGGAGAACCACAGCTCCAGCCAGTGGGATGCTGGCCTTTTTGCATACACTTTGAGGGTAACTACAGATGGAAGGGTGGGTAGATAGAAATATAACTTAGATGTAATACCTTCTTGACATTTTTTGTGAAATTTACCACAAGGCAAAAGAGAAAGACCACTTTAGAGAAAAAGCAGTGGAAGAGAACAATTACTCTGCTCGATGTCCAGAAGGAGATGGCCATAGTGGCAGGCTGGACAGTGGATGTGGCTGGTGGGCTCTCAGATATTCCATCATGCCTTTGGTGGCCATCTCAGCAGAATCAGCTCATGTGTTGGGGCTAATATTGGTAGTTCAAGGCATGAAAACAGCACAGATTTAGAGGAGCCTGGGAACTTGGTGTTCCTTTTAATGCTTATTGAGCAACATTTCAAGGCTTACTGCATTTTATTAGGGTTTTCTCCTTGTTGTCGTAGCTATATGCGACAAACATGATAAGATTTTCTTTTTCATTGCAGGTTTTTCTTTTTCATCTAGGATTTTTGGAAAGATAAGACTTGGTTTTGCACAGGTTCTTGTTTCCCACCACATTTAAAGAGAGAGAGAAGGACATATGTAGTGTTGCATCATGTCTTGCACAGAGAAGATGTAGCTGATAAGCTCTGAGAAGCTGATTCATATCTTCCTCCAGCTGGGACTGGGTCTGGGTTGTGGTACTGGCTGGACCTACAAGGTCTCTCTTGTTGGCAGGTTCCATTCTGCTTTAGGGGGGTAGAAAGTGGCCCTGCTTGATGCTTCCTGTTCTAGCAGTTCAGAAGGACATAGGTCATCAGTGCACACTGTTAAAGTCAGTGCAGACAGTCTAAAGCTAAATCTGTTTTCTGATATCTGTGATCATGAAAATGGACCTCATTTATTATTCTTCTCCACACAATAAATGACAACTTTCTTCACAAAGGTGAAATTTAAATTTCATGTGGTGTCTCGTCTCTTCTATTTATATATTACATATCTTAGAAGAGTGATCACTATAAATTGGTGAACCTGCAAGAGGGTCAAAGTGGACAGATAAGTTCAGAGCCATCTGTGCCTTGCTTCTAGCAAGGAAAGGCAAAGGATAGAAAATTAAAATTATACACCAAGGTAGATAGCATTTGGTGATGATTAGTGGAAACTAAAGTGAAACTTGAAAAAACAGTCTAGAGAGGAACATCTTGCTATGGAAGGTTATTAATGATGATTAAGTACATAACAGATATAACTCTACTTTGGATCTTTGTAGAGCAATCTTGTTATTTATAATTGTGGAAATCCTGGGGAAATTTTCTTGCTACAGAGTAGCAAGAGATGGTATTTGAAGGTTTAAAAATTTGGACAAAATTGAAAAAAGTTTCAGATTAAGTGAAAATGATAACATTTCAAATAGTCAAAACAGTTTGTCTCATGAAGCATTTAAAATATTTTGACATTTCTGGTTACTTTTCACATACTATAACAAATGCCAAGGAAATGATTTCACAAAACCACTGAAAGTGGTTCCTACATTTTTATGCTGCTGCTGAGTAGTCAGGGTATTCCCTCCAACCACCTCCTAAGGCAGAGGGTACCAATCCTCTGTTACCCATCGTGAGTTAAGGGCTCATAGC